TCCTGGTGTTCTTTGGTGTTAATGGATGACTTTAAGCTTAAATAATTTGGGAATTTGGGATCAGATTAAGATGTTATCGGGATTGGTTTGAAGATTGATTGAAAAGCATTGTTGAAGAAAAATCGATGTTAAAGAGCATTGCTTAAATAATTTTGGATAAGATTTGGTTGTTATGGTCTCGATGTTTTGGAGATCCAAAATTTAAATTTATTGACATGTGAAGTAATTGATCCATGGATGAACTATTCATATATATACTTAAGATTTAATGATAAAACTCATGGGCGACGTTGAGGGGGGGGGGGGGTGGGGGGGGGCAAAGTGGGCAGTTGCACATGACCCAATTTATATATATAATATATATATATATATATATATATATATATATATATATTTAAAAATAAAAACTTATAACAACGATAAGAACTCTTTTTTCTAGATCGTCCTGAGTCTTTGAAGATATTTAATTCCTCATGACCGACCTTGATAAAACTTATGCTTTTCTCTAGAATTTGTACAACCTCACCTAACCTACTATTGTACTGATTAGTTTGTCATCAGTTAATGGTTTCTTATATAACATAACAGTTGGTTTTTCTTTAACCTATGTTTAAGTAGATTGCGATAAGGTGACCAATACATATTTGATATCTTATAATACTTGTAACATAAATTTGTTTGAGAAATAAATTATATAGACGACGATGAGTTCAAAATGATGTTAACGTTATTGTTTGGTGGCAAATAATTGGTTATAGATGACTTTGATCTTTAGTTTTTTTGGAGCTTAATGATTTTTTTTTCTATTCATAACTTGTACCAAGAAATTTCCGGTAGTAAAAGAGTTGAAGTGAAAAAAATTTAACTTTTTTCATAATCTAGGCCAAAATAATGAAGATTTTCTGGAAATAACTGGGTAAAAAATAGTTTACCGGTAAAATGCCGATTTGAATTTTTTATCCGATAATCGAGATTTTTTTAACAAAATAAAATTTATGATTTTTTTTCATAAAATGAATCAAAAATAGTGAGAATTTTAATAAGATTTCAGATATTTTATAGTAATAGTCACGATTTAAAAATAAAGTTACAAAATGATGCGTGGACTGTTGAATTTCTTTTCTAATTATTTTGGTTTTTACCCAATTAAAATTTTAGAGGGTTGTTGACATAAAAACACATCAAAGTTTTACCGTTGGTTTTAAATGCTCATTTAACTTTTTTTAGACCCGTTAGACCATTAAACTCAAAATTTACATATCTAATATATCATTTTGTTCAAAATTATCCGGTTTTCCGGTTCCATTCCTCATTTGTACATTGACTTTTGAAAGTCAAAGGTTTCTATAGCCACATGGAACAAACTATTGCAGAGATAAATTTGAGAACCTATATATCACCGGTGAACCAAAGAATGCCAACCAAAGAATGCAGACTTCTAAACCCCGAAAATATCTATCATTTTTCCGATCAATTAGAATCTCTGGAACAGAACTTGTGAATCCAATTTCAGTTGCAACCCCAACGGTGGTGATGGTAGTGATGCCACCACAACCGGTGATGAATCACAAATGAGAAAATGGTAGGATTTCTTCGGGGAGAAATCGAGTGGCGAGGAAGGAGGCTTGGTGTAACATCCCAAAAATTGTAAGGTGAAAATTTCATTTATAATTCAACCATAAACACCATTTGGCCTTTTTAATCATTCGAAAATATATCAGAGTAAAAATATTTATCAGAGTAAAATCCCAAAATCATAAAGTTGCGGAAACATGGGTGGATGCAGTGCAGTCACGTCGGGCCCTTCCCTTTTGTACCGGAAGTACCTGAAACCATAAACATAAAACCGTAAGCACAACGCTTAGTGAGTTCCCTAAAATACCACATACCATACATATCAAACATACACTGGGCCATGCCCAACAACCATCGCGCCCCACTCGACATCAGGCCCGCCCAACATCGGGCCCTGCCTGGAACAGATTTGTCAATAACATGAGATGGGCCCCGCCTCATCACATTCATCAGGCCCCGCCCGACATTCATACAGACACATAAAACACATGCAAGAATCACTAAGACAAATAGCATACATTATACTCACCAGGCCCCGCCTGCCATCAGACCCCGCCCGGTATACATATCACATACTACACATGCAAGAGTCACACAGACAACTAGCATCCTAATCATAATAAATCATTGGCCGACATTGGTGCCTTCGACCCGCCAAACACAGTGAGGAGACTCACTTCAATCCGAGATAAACCGAGACACACACACACACACACTGCTGCCACCGAAAACCTCACACTGGACATAATCAAATATCTTAATCAATAATTAAGGTCATTTCCCAAAATCCAAGGTCCAATCCATATTCTATACTTCCAATGGGTAAAAGACCATTTTACCCTTCTCATATCTGATCCAATAACCTATGGCCCAAACTCTAAAAGACCCAAGGCCCAAAATAAGATCTCACGAGTACGACGTGCGTACCTAACTAGTACACCCCGTGTACGGCCCACTGAAGCACAAGGTACGACTCTCTAAAGCTCAAGGACGGGGACTTCTTGCATTACGTTGAGCGTATGCATACGTACACCCAACGTACTCATCAAATGACTAAAACTTCATATTAAGCACTTAATACTTAAGACCAAAACATCCAAACTCATATCTAACCTCTAAATAAGGTCTTAATCTATAAAGCTGCCAACTTTACCCCTTTGCATGTCTTAATGAGACCCAAACCCGTTTTTATCCATCTAAACCCATAATATGAACATCAACTTAAGCATGATTCATCAAAACCCATCAAGATGAATTTTTTATGTTTCCTAATAACTCCATAATGGATAAAGAACCAAGATCTAGTCTTTAAGTCTCAAAGGGACCAAAAATGCATCTTTTCCAACTTAATCCATTAAGTCGAAGTCTCAAGCTTTTTAGATCTGAATCAATATGATGTTTAGATGGATAAAGTTTCCAACTTTATCCATAACAAGGTCACAAACTTTCAAGATCTAAACTTTATGCACTAAAGTGACCAAAAGCTCATAACACCCAATACTATCTAGATCTAACAAATGCATCATCAAGATTCAAACTTTATACCTCCAGAAGAAAGATCAAGGTGAACAAGGTCTGGATCTACAAGCTTCAATGCAACCAACACTTCTTCAATGAGTTCCTTCTTCTCCAAGGTGCACCAAGAACACTCCAAAGCACTTAAAAATACATTCTTTTTGCTCACAAGGCTCAAACTAAGGTTAGGGTTTCAAGAGAGGGTGTTGGAGAGGTGGAGGCTGAGAATAGAATGGGTTTGGGGAAGTTAAGGAGCTTAAATAGGGCCCAAACCACGAAAATAGGGTTTAGGCACTGATCGCGTACGCCCAATATACTAGGGATGCCCTAGTACGCGGCTAACCCAAAAATCGTCCTAACTTCAAACGGTCGTAACTTCTTTGTTTCAACTCCGATTTGACGATCCTTATATCCACAGAAAGGTAATTACAACCCTATCAACTCTCATTTACCTTAAAACTTTCCGAACTTAAATCCAAAATTCATTAAAGGCCCGAACTATCACTTTACAGTTATACCATTGGGCTCCAAAGCACCAACCGAACTCTCGAATCACTTAATCTACATTACCCACATCCAAAGGGGTCTAAATCTCTCTTTCCCCCAAGGCCCGAAGCCTTATGATAACTAGTCCTCGGGTTATGGCCCAAAATTATGAAACGATTCGAAACAGGATGTTACACTTGGCGAGCTCAGAGATTGCAAAGATGAACCATACACATACAATCTTCTTGAAAACCTCTATAATATCATAAACACATTAAGAATTTTACTACAAGTGCAATTTGTAAGCTTTTCAAATTCTGCATACTAAGTCGATTAAGCTTTTGATTAGGCAATTGGTTGATTATTAATAAAAAATAGAAGACGTTTTAATGATTCGTTCAGCATGCAATTCTAATCAAGAAAAATCAACAAGATGACAATAAAGGTTTAATCAAAACGCATTTTCAAAATTTAACATCTTACCCAACCCAAATTTCCAGTTCTTGAAATACATTATAATCGGTGGTCACATTATCAAACTCTATAGCAAAAATGTCAAAATTAAAAGAAAGTAATTAAAGATTTGAATTCTTAGTTCTTCAAAACCCAAAACTAATCAAGAAAATCAAGAGCATGACAATAAAGAGTTAATCAAGACTCAATTCCAAAATTAAACATATTACTAACCAGGATTCTCAATTCATGAAATACATTCTAATCGGTGGTCAAATTCCCATTTCTTGAAATACATTATAATCTCTGATGCTTTTCGGTAACAAACCCATAATGGGCCTTTGAGATTTGAATCATGAAAATCTTGCATCAATTTCTGACTCGATCTTAATTAGAGCCACTGTTTCTTGCTTCGACCACTGGAATTCTGGTCACCGTCTTCGGTAAATCCACCGCCACCGCCATTTACCAGCGGTTCCACATGGTTGTTATTATATGATTGAGATAACACACTTTCATCGTTGTAGTTTTCTATTGAAGACGGGAGTCCTTTCATTGATCGATGTAGATTTTTCTTAAGAGGTTAAACAATTATTCTTCAATTGGGGATGAATCTACCCTTGGCTTCGAAAACCTTTGACTATCAGATAGACCGTGTATATAATTATATATGTGAGTAAAAACTTTTGACTATCAAAGTCAATGTAAATATAAGGAATGGAACTAGGAAACCGGTTAATTTTGAACAAATATTAGATAGGTAAATTTTGGGTTTAATAGTGTATCCGGTCCAAAAAAAAGTTAAATGACCATTGTCTATTTTAGAATTTTAGAAGGACCGAACTTTTACCTTTCTGCCGATACACCGATAAAGGATAAACCCCTAAAATTGCCTGTATCGCCCTTCGTTGGAGCCCTAAACCCGCTCTATACCAACGTCACCTGCACAATTGCCATCGCACAGCACGATAATGGGCGATCGGAGGGAGAGGGATAGGGATAGGGATAGGGACAGAGATAGAGACCGGGATCGTCTCCGGCACCGACACATCGATCATGATCGTGAACGAGACCGTGATAGAGAGCGAGACCATGACCGTGACCGTGAGCGTAAGGAAAGGAACAAACGGTCATACACACCAGAACGAGCTCGTTCTCGCCACGATAGGTCTCGGACTCGCTCCCCGGACCACCACCGGTCGCGTTCTAGATCCACCGACAGGCACCGCAGGAGAAGCCACCACCGTACCCCGTCCCCTGACCAACAGCGGAAGCGTCGCAAGCACGGAGATGATGATAGCCAGCGTACCGCGGCTGTAGTTTCGGAGTTTGTGGATGAGATTGTGAAGGAGAAACAGCAGCAGAAGAACTCTAAGGATGTAGAAATGGTTGAAGATGATGCTGGTGGAGAGATGGATGCCAATGAAATAGAGATGATGAAGATGATGGGCATACCTGTTGGGTTTGATTCAACTAAAGGGAAGCCGGTCGAAGGGAATGATATAAGCGGGATCAGAGCGGTGACTAAAAGACAGCCTCGTCAATACATGAACCGCCGTGGTGGGTTCAATCGCCCATTGCCTGCTGAAGTGAACCGCTGAGTGAGGTTAGGGTTTTGTTTTCTCTGTTGAAACTGCATCTGTTTTGCTTTTGTTTCTTTTCTCAAATTTAGTGAATGTAATACGAATTTGAACCTAACTTGAATTGAATTGTTAGACGAATGGTTCTACTGCTGTATGAACACTTGTTTTATAGCTTCTGAAAGTAGTGTCTAGTGTTAAACCTATCACTATTACTTGATTAACATGTCAAGAATCTACCCTCCTGATTAATTACGAATTTAGAAACCAAAGTGTCAAGAACATACCTCAAAATGCTGAAAATTAGAGGACCAATATATTCCCAATATAAAGGTTTGTTGCACTTCGAGCAATGAAGAACAATCTCTTTAAATCAATCCTTTCAGTTTTCTTCTATATTAGACCCCCCATATTAGTGTGAGTTTGGATCAACCCTCCCTTCTATTTATAGCCACAAATAGTGGTTAACTAACCACCAATTTGATCAACTAAATGAACCCATCGACTTTAAAAGTGATCTTCCCTTTTTGCCCCTTTCCTGTGTAACTAGAGGACCTTGTCCCCTTCTTTCATCGAAAAAGAGTTTCAATTTCATCCTGAAGGAGCTAATGAAAGCCTATTCGATTTAATTAATAATGTACATGCTTTTAAATAATTGCTTATGCAAATCAAATTAACAGCAGTTATGAAATAAATGAAGAAATATAGAATATTTTTATTAGTGATGAAACGTGCAATCCACAATTTATCAAGTAATACTGTCTAGGATAAGTATAAAGTTGTGTGTAAGTATGTAACAATATCTTGTTTGGGTGTTTGCAGATGCTTGAAAACATGACAAACTCTCAAGTCACTTGATGCATGATCCCTTTCATTGATTCAACAATTTTAATGTCATCAATTGCTGTAAGTTACTTGATTTGGGGATTTCTGTTTGTGACACATCTGCCCCTTGTGCTAAATGATAATGTATTTGCATTGTACAATATGGTCACATAAGGTTTTATTTTTCCAAATCTTTTAACATTTGTTGTAGTGTAGCCCACAATTGGTTGTGGTTTTCCATTTTGATGACATGAGAATTTTTACATGTAAGAAGAAAACACCTTCTTCACAATTCTAACCTCATGTGGGCCCACTCTTAAGCTGTACCAAGTCAAGAATTTCTCTTTAAAACTTATATATATATATATATATATATATATATATATATATATATATATATATATATATATATACACCATCTGATCACTGTCACATAATATCCAAAATCCCAATCTTGCCCTTCCTCTCCACATGTCTCTTTCAAAACTTCTCTCATGGAAACAACAAATGTATTGACTTGTGTCCATATTAAGTCAAGTTATTTGGCTTCTGTCCATTAAGTCAATAAGAAACATCCATGTATATCTGTTATTCCATTAAGACCATTACGTCTAAAGAAAAAGACCCTAAAGCAAATGATATGTGACTTGTTTATTTTGTATTTAATACAAAATAATTGTTCCCACAACCATAAAATAATTGTCATTTTTAATATAATCTCACCCTCTGTGTGTGTATCGTCCAAGATTTTGTACAAATGACTATTTTTAATATAATCTCACCCTCGGTAGTGCCTTATTTCTCAATACTTAGTTTGTTATATTATGTTTTGCAGATATTGTGTATCTGAGTTGTTAGCAAACTTGAAAAAATATCACTTATGGATTTCTTACATGTGTTGTGAAATTTGTTTAAGTGGATTGAATTGGCAACGTAGGATGGTTATGATTACTGCAATTTCGCAAGCATGTGCACATCACATACTCAAATTCGCATCAAATTTCGTATCATTATGATTCTCTAGGTTATCCGAATCTTATTACTTGGTTGGTCTATTTTATTTATTATATAAAAGATGATTGATAAATGTAGAATGGCTTTTTATATATTTTATTTAATTTTTTATTTACAACAACGTTACTCTAGTTTCATACAAATAAGGTAAAGGGATGTAAGATGGTCGGCAACTTCTAACATAAGTTGATAGACTGCTTTTGTATAAGACGTCCGATAAATCGAAATAAAAAAGCAAAAATAAACAAATATAATAAAGTAAAATTTTCATAACCGCATTCCAATTGAAGTTATCTTTGCATAAGATATTTGCATATAAACGACAGTTCGTGATGAATTACAAAGTGGAATAAGGTTTATTAAAGCAACCTACACACGAGAAAGAAACACGTGCACATGAAGAGTGACCGGGTCAACAACTAAAACATGGCTACATACGCAAGTAGTGGAAGTAGATATATGAAGTTCGAAGCATGTGCTAGTTATACATGTTAGAAGTAAAATAGGCAAACAAGAAAGAATGTGTAAAGTAGCCCATAAGAACTAAAAATGGTGGAAGCTAGACCCTAAACTATATTTATATTATTACTATGTTGCTCTAATTCTAAGCATCAATACTTTCTTATCTGAGATCATGTCATCCGTGAGGGCTAACTCATTTAAGTCTAATCATTTGCTATCTTCCCAATTCCTTATTGGTTGTCCTCTCCTTCTTATACCCTCAAATATAATCAACTCCACCCTCCTAACACCAACAATTGCTTGTCTCCTATAGACATGCACAAACCACCGTAATATTCCTTCCCTTAATTTCTCGACGATCAACGCCACCCTTAACGTTTTTCTAATAGTCGTGTACGATATCATGTCCAACAATGTTCTACCACATGTTCTGGTACATTCTCATTTTCGCGACCTCCATCGTCCTTTTGTGTTCCTTCTTGATCGGCCAGCATTCAGATCCATACAAAAACGTTGGCCTTATCGCCGCCTTAAAAGATTTCCCCTTTAGTGTCCATGGTAGCTTCTTGTCACACAAGACTCATGTCGATGCCCTCCAATTTAATCATCTCGCCTTAGTGTGTTGTGTAACGTCATCCTCCACACCCTCATATTTATGGATCATAGACCCAAGTACTTGAAATTCTCATATGGGTGTAATACATGGCCATCGATGCATACTTCTATTTCTTTACCTCTTTGATCCCTACTAAATTTGCAACATAGATATTTTATCTTGGTAGTTCGATACATAGCCTGTTTTCTTCTAAAGCCGCCTTCTAGGTAACCAACCTAGCATTCAACTCAAATCTAGACTCGGCCACTAGCATTATGTCGTATCAACAAAAATCATACACCATGGCCCCCTTCCTGAGTCTCATAATAGATTTCATCCATAATGTGGACTAAGAGTCGAGCCATGATGGAGCTCAATTTCTATAGGGAAAGCCTTTTGTGTCACCAATTGCAGTTCTAACGCAAGTAATAGACCGACAATACATATCGTGTACCGCTCGGACATAAGTTGCTAGAACTCGTCTAGCTTCCAAGGTCTTCCAGATCGCCTCATGCGTGACATTATCATAAGCCTTCTTAATGTCAATGAACAACATGTGCATATCCCCATTTTTCTTGATATTCCCATAAGACGTTGAAGTATGTGAACCGCCTCAGTTGTAGACCTCCATGGCATAAAGCTAAATTGATTTTCCGATATCTAGTTTCATATCTTAATTTAGCCTCTAACACCGTCTCTCATACCTTCATGGTATGACTAAAACAATTTAATGTCTATATAGTTGTCACAAGTTTGCACATCTCCTTTCTTCTTATAGATTGGCATCAAAACAGTTAATCCCTACTCCTTAAAATGAATATTTTATTTATTTAAGATTAAAATAATTATTTCTAATGTTTTTAATAAAAAAACATAAATTATATTTATTTAATAAAAAATTGGTTTAAACTGGATTGCTAACAATGTAGTTTTTTTAGTTGGATTGAATTGTGTGGCTGGAAGATAGATAAATTAAATATATAAAAGAAACTAACGCGAATGCCCTTAATCATTAAGAGTCCTACCATAATAGATGGTTCTAAGAAGACCAAAGATATATAATTTGTGAACATATATTATTTAGTTTATAGATATAAGAATAAATAATTTTTGTCTTAATATGTTAATAATGTATTTGGAAGTGTTTTTAGAAACTAATCTTTTAAAACTAATCTTTTAAGTGGTTGTTGTGGACTATAAAATATATATTTATTCATGTATCTTTAGATTAAAAAGCTATAGTTTTATGTATAATGTAAATTATATTTATAATTTTAATTTATAGACAAAATTGCAAACATGGTTCCTATCGTATGCATTTTTTTCCGAGGTTTAGTCCAAACCTCGACTTTTTTGGCTTCATGATCCTTTTGAGGTAGTTTGTTTGTGGAATTAGCCACTGTTAAACTTGAAAAGACTAATCTACCCTTTTAATTTGTTTTTCTACTTTGTTAAATATTTCCCCTTTTATTAAAAATTTTAAAAATAAAAACAAATTAAGAGGGGGGCATACCTCTCTCTCTCTAGAAAAACACACACAAATTAAACATACATACACCTCATACGCGCGCGCACACACACAAACTGAAGATTCATGAATACATGATCAGTAATGCACCCCCAGTCCCTCACCCCAACTCACCGGAATCTGCAGAACCACCATCTGCCGCCAACATTGAACAATATGACGAAGCTCCGACGAGTCCACCAAATGCTAACACGGAGATAATTGAACCCAAAGAAGAACAACCTGAAGCTCCCTTAAACAACAATACAAAAGCTCACAACTGAAAGCCCACAACCCAAAGGTATCAGAGCAGGCGGCTCCGGTTGCTCCTCCTCTAGTACCGACGATAGTGCAGCAGCAACATAGGACATCTCTCTCTCTCTCTCTCTCTCTCTCTCTCTCTCTCTCTCGTTAAAGTAAAAAAAACTACCCCATCTTCTCTTAAACTCCACCCCTCCGATCTGCAATCTGGTGAAAAAGTCTCTACCCTCCTTCCCATTCCTCTCTCCCTGGAAAATACAATCGCCGGAAAATACCCTTATTCTCTCGCCCCACCCACCCGCTGGACCCTAAACATCACCCACCATACCTCGCCCATCACCCAAACCAGACTAGGTAGCATCTCCGACAAACACTAGACCAGTGACCATTTTCAGATGGTGGATTCAGATTAGGGAAGAAACCTGTTAAGCTGATGCTTACTTTTATTACCAAAAAACTAATCACCACCACATTTCTCAATCCCAACACCACCACCGTCGCCGATGTGAGTATCGAAGTGGAGAAAGGAAAAAATAAACACAGACACATATAGGGACAAAGACGATGTCTCATGATTCAAACTCAATAAACCCTAATATAATCTGAAATTAATGTTGAATCTGAAATCGATTTTGAGAGTGATGGGAGCTTTAGGTTGTTCTAATCCAATAAATTTCGAATCTGAAACCCAATAAACTCTAGGCAGCACTGAATGTCAATTTGGTTGTGAAGGAAGGTGCATGTTTTTCTTTTGGATGAAAATGATGGGGACGGTGGAGATAGAGAGAGAAGTGGGGCCCTCTCTATTTGTGTTTACTTTTAAAAATTTAAATAAAAGGGAAATTTTTTAAGAAAATAGAAAAACAAATTAAAAGGGTAGATTAGTCTTTTCAAGTTTAACAGGGACTAATTCTACAAACAAACCAGACAAAACTGCAACATTGGTCCTTGTGGTATTCAAATTTTTTTTGGATAGGGTCCAAAAAGTTTCTAACTTGCATGGAAGGTCCAAAATAAAAAGATTTACGTGATTTTGGTCCAAAAAATATTACGAGATTTATGGTGCTGGCTTTCTGAAGTTCTACAAAGAAGGAATTCAAGTTTATTTACAATAATAAACTAAAATGTATGTTTTTTAGTAACCCTTCTCCAATTTCGAAAATAGCAATCTACTTTAGGGTTCTTGAATTTAAATTGTTGTTTGCACATCATAGTGAGAACATAAATGTTTTAGGGTGTATGCAAATTTATGGTTTTATGTTTTCCGCCAAAAATATGACCAAAAATATGATTCTTGTTATCTATAAAACTCATCATCAAACCCCTAACCTTCGCAACAAAAACAACCAAAGCGAACCAATCACTCATCTCTTAAAGACACAATCATTGCATTACGAATCTTCTACAAATTTGGGTTTCATCTTCTCTCAAGACTCCAATCTAATCACTTGCTACTATATACATATATCGAGATTTGGATTTTTTTTTCTCTCTTTCTTTATCTATTTGATTATTATGTGAATTTTTGGGTTTATGCTGTCTATTACACATGGATGAATGTGTGTCGTTTGTTGAAATCAATTCTCTGATTAAACCTAGGGCCGACCCATGGTCAGAGCAAATTGAATGATGAATGTGTGTTGTTTGTTGAAATCAATTATGTGATTAAACCCAGGGCCGGCCCATGGTCAGAGCAAATTGGATGACGAATGTTTGTTGTTTGTTGAAATCAATCCCTCTCCCGACCCCCCAAATAACAAAGGGCCTCTATTTTATGTTTGTTATATTGGGTTATATTGGACAGCCCATTATTTTTAATGCTAATGGACTAATTCTTCAAAGCCCAATCTAACCAAACCAGGCGCCAATCCAAAATAGGGAGCTGGAGCGAGACGACGAGACCTAGCGTGCGTTTCCGATTTCGAAGGCGTCATCAACGCTTCAGTCGATTTCTATGGAAACTCCAAAGGACTTCCACTTCTCCAGAAGCCAACGGTTAGTTATCTGTTGTTTAATTCTTCTAACGGTTAATCAATCGATTTCTTATTTTCTTATTTTCTGATTTCTGAATTCTTCCATTCTGAAATAGCACCGATAATCAGTGAATCGGAACCGAAAGTTAGAGCTGAAATTGATTTCTGAGTCGCCGAAAGTTTCTGAATTTCTTTGTGAATCGACGGAAGTTGAAGTTTCAGTCTTTCAGAATCGAGCTAGAGACGTAATTGATTTCTGAATGTGAATATGTGTATGTAAGTTCTAGCCTTCTTGAGTGTAGTTTACTACAAACTCCATTACAAAACGATTGATAGGTATACTCCCAATGGTTACTGCTTAGAAAATATATGTTACATATGGACATGCACTTCAAAAAGGTTGTTTGAATTCACATATGTATAAATCTATATGCTTCATGGTGTATTATTGTCACAGTAAGACATTCAAAATCCTCAAACCGAAATATAAACATCTCATTTACTCATGATTGGCAGACATGTTTCAGTACCTGATGATTTCCTCTTCTTATAAAACTAGTATAAAGAACTTGACTAGTATGCTACAAACTCCATTATGTACAAGTCAACATTGTTCAGAAATTTAACTATTGGGATACAAGTCGATTAAGCTGGAAGATGTTTGTTCAATAGAAATCTCTGTTTGATCAGACTCCTGGGACTTCATCTTTTCAAACCTCCCTCTAAGTCCTTCAAACCTGAACTTGTCTTCAGACATAATTACATTTATGTTTGGTTCCTTGATTTTGATACAAACCTTGAGCCTTGATGTCTCTATGAACCATTTTGAGCATAGACTCCTCATGAAGGAATGTCAAGCCTTTTGCAATGCCAACACAAATTCTTTGTCTTGTAGGCCAATCAATTTCCTCTGAGTCTGATTAAAAGAATTTTAATCAAGAAACTTGTGAATGGAAGATAGACTCTCTTTGTGGAACTAAAGATGCCATATTTTCCATTTTGGGGTGTCGTATTTAATTTGTAACACTTTGTTCTTATAGGAGCTATTGAAGCCTTGATTCCAACTCTTAGCAGTGTCAACTTCTAAACTATCATCTTGTAACTTTGTTATAAGTTATAACCACAACATTCAGGTTTGTCCTAACTTTTCTATCTTGTGTGCTATTTTTGAACAACAATGTTTTAATGTTATGATTTGTACTTTGATGGATTAGAATCTCAAGAAATTAAACAGCATTATATAGAAATGATGATATAGATTTATGAAATTATTCATTCATGTGGAAATTGATCTTCTGCCTCTAATTTTCAGAGTTAGTAGTCAGCCATGGCTGATTTTTTAACATCCACTCACCGAGCCAAGTGGATCTTCACTCCACAAGATTTGGTACACAACCTTCTCATATTCAAATCTTTAAAAATCTTTCTACTAATTTAAATTTTCTTTGAATAATCTTTTCCAGAAAGAAAAATACAAAGCTGCAAATCATAGAGCAAAACAGATGCTGGAGAAGGTATGCAAGCAAAAACTTTGACTTGTATAACCAAACATAATATCATTAATGGGCAGAAAAGTAATTTTGGACAAACATCTTTGTGTAGTATGGATCAACAAGGGTGGATGTTGATCTTGATGGCTCCTTGTCATATCCAGAGCTTCAAACTGACCCAAAAGACAATGGTATTTAACTTATTACTATTTAAAAAACAATATCCGAGTTCACTCACTGAGTTAACTCTTCTATTATCTGATTACTTTTTACTTTTTATAAAAGGTGAGAAGCATTCACGTTCAAAACCACTTAAAATAGACGAAGAACAACTTTTACGTGCATTTTATGAGTTCAAAATTCAAGATGTATGTGATGCCTTCAAATTCCCTAGGAAAATACAGGTACTTTAATTCTTTGTTTTGAAGTTTATAAAAAATAGTTGTTTAGTTCTTGATTTTTATATAATTTGCAGGCGACAGCTCTTATATATTTTAAAAGATTCTATCTGCAATGGTCAGTGATGGAACATCATCCAAAAGACATCATGTATAGTTGATTTAACATTTTAACCTAATTTTATCTTTTTTAATTTTTTTGAAATTCTGAGTTGTGGATTTTTATAAAAAAGGTTGACTTGCATATATACGGCATGTAAAGCGGAAGAAAATCATGTGTCAGCTGAAGAGCTTGGTAAGGGGATTGATCAAGATCATCAAGTCATTCTCAATAATGAGATGCTTGTTCTTCAGGTATCAATTTATTTTTATTTTTGTTTTATTTTTTGTGTTCATTTTGTTTTAAACATTTTTTTTTTCTTTGCAGTCTCTTGGATTTGATCTTATTGTCTATTCGCCATACCGTTCAATTGACGGTTTTATTGATGATATGGAGGTTAATTTTTTTTTACTTTTTTCCTTTTAAAAAAATAAAAAATTCTGAAATTTTTTATATATAATATTTGTTTCTTCTACTTGTTATTAGGATTTTATCTATTCAAACAATGGTCAACTTCAACATCTGAAGGTGCTTCTTACTTTTATCCTCTTAAATATATTTAATAAATTTATCTGATTTTTGAATTTTTGATCAATAATATTTATAGGATTTACATGAGACAGCAAAAATGGTTGCAGATAGAATGATGCGTTCAGAGGCACCTCTTTTATTTTCTCCTGGACAGGTATTATTTTTATTAAATAAATTAAATTTGAATATATAATTTGAATTTATGAAAACTTAAATGTTGTAGCTTGCATTGGCTGCTTTGCGTAGATCAAATGAGGAGCATCAAGTTGTTGACTTTGAAAGGTTTAAATTGTTTCTATTTTTTAGCACTTCAATTTTTTTTTTTTTTAAAAAATTGTAACAAATTCTTTTATATATTTTTTGTTTTATACATACAGATATTTGAATAACACGCTTTCTCGTCAGCATCCAGCACGACCTGTTTCTGAACTCACAGTTTATCTTAATGCTATTGACCAGCTGGTAAATATTCAATTCTTTAATATTTTTTAATATGAAAAACTGCAAAAAAAAACAAAATTCTAATATTTTGTTGATTTATTAAATAAATGTAGGTGAATAATCTTGTGACACCTACTGCTGCTGATATGAAACACATTGATCGGAAGCTGAAATATTGTCGGGATCCAGGCTCTCATGAAAAGTACACACACACTCTCTCTCTCTCTTATTGGTTATGATTTTTATATGAAAAAGATTCTCTGAAAGACATTTGTGAAATGTCTAAAATACCCTTTGGGTTGTGAATTCAGGAGTAAGAAACGAAAGCATAGGTCAAAAGAGTGAACACTTTCAGCAGCATTGGTTAAGATTTTTGGGTAGTTTGCTTTATCTGGATGCAGTGGAGAATTCTGGTGCAGAAAAGGTTGGTGACTTTTTATATCAATAAGATATTTTTTTTTGAAGATTTTTTAATTTTTTTTAAATATCTTATGAACAGGTATGGTGGTTTTGGTGTTTGCCTGGTCTGGATACGGGCATATCTTCTTATTAGCAGTATTGGGGCTAAATGTTATTAGACAGATTGGCAATTGGCTTGTTTTTATCCAGCAATTTGAAAGAATTATATGAACAGATGTTTGATAATAACAAGTTTTTATTCTATGATTGCAAAAATTTTAAATTCATATTGATTTTTTTCAACTACATACATGTGGTACTGACATGGCATTCATGTGGATTTTTTGAAATAGTCTTTTATTTTAATTTGTCCCCTTTTCTGTTGATCTTCAAGATTAAAATGGAATAAAACACAATACAATTTCAAGGTCAGCAACCTCTTCATCAGAAATCAAATATGGAATAACACACACAAGAAAAAACCAATGCAACAATGAAATCAATGCTTCACTACAAACACACACAAAGTTTTCCATCTCCATTTGTGGTTGTCTTTTTTCTTTGATCGCATTCAATTTATTTAATTTAGTTAAAATAGTAAATTTAGAATATATATATATATATATATATATATATATATATATATATATATGTTTAAAAAAAGTTTATGTGGAAGCCATGTCAGTGCCATATAGACTTGAATCTTGGGTCATTCATTCTAATTGTACCCTCCAAACCCTTAACTAACCCACACTTGGCTTTTTATATTAATCACGTTAAAGAAAGTTAGACTTTTGTTTTTTTATTTTTTGTTATTTTGTTGTCTTTTCTTTATAATTTATTATTATTGTTATTACTATTTTAATATGTTTTTGTTGCAAAATATCAAAAAGTATGAAATTTTTTTCATGTTGGAAGCATGGTTTAAACATATATAAATTATTAAATTCTTACAATATTTGATTTACTTTACCTATATGTCGACCCACTCTCTTTCATCCAAATACAAACAAACACATGGACCAGATTTGCAATTTATATGAATACATTTGATTCCTCATGGGTTTATAATTGACAATCAAATATCATGACAATAAGAATCAAATGTTTTCATCATTCGTCAAATTACGATAAGAAGATTTTTATCAAACCGAAGGCTTTCAACATTTTATACATGTCTAAAACTCTATATAGACAACGGATGGTTTTCACACTGACCATGTATTATTTTTTATTGATAGCTTTAATATATTTTTTTGATGTTGTATGTTCGTAAGGCTAATCAAATATTATACTTTGATTTTTTTTTCATATGTTAGGTAATTAACAATCGTAAAAATTTAATGGAGTGGGTACAGAATGCGGCACAGTCTCTTAGGTACATGTCAAATTATTTTAATGTGTGATCGGGATGGTGTGTTTACTGTTTAGAGGTCTAGAGACGTCCACCAAACATACGAGGACAAGAAAAACAAATTGTTCATTCGAATTGTTTGCTTGTGACTATAAGACTAATGATGTTTGGAGGTTGAATGTTAAAAATGATCAACATAATCATGAATTTGCAATGTATGGAGGGTTGGTGGTTGTCGAGGCCAACAAAATTAATAACCCTAAATATTACACATTAAAATAGTGTATAGTGGTAAAGGGATCGAATCCACGGAGATTAGTTCAATTTTATAACTCTATGAAAAATCTCTCTGTAAAAATACTTGTAAAATGACAATAAATTAAAATGGGGGGGGGGGGGGGGGGGTGGTCTTTTGAAATACTTGAAATAAACTAGAATTAAACTAAGATTTAAATGGACAATTCAACAAAAATAAGAGTTTGATGTAAAATCAATAAGGGAACGATGGTTGACTTAAGGTTTCCTCACTTTGACTTTTGATGAACATATCATTAGAATCCATTAATCCAATGGTACAATACTTGATTTAAATCCTTAATTTGGCTATAGTAATCCAAGAAGCTTGAGATTACCTAGACTTTTTTTAGTTGTTGAAATGGTTAGAGAAGCTCATAACAATTTCCTTAGTCAAAGTCACAAATTCCATTAAGCATGTAATTAGTGAAAACCAACTAGCATTAAGAATTAAAAAGTCACCAAATCCAAGAGGAGTCAAAAGCTTCCACTACCATGTTGGAGAAAATGTCTTTATGATTGTGTGAAGTAAAACTAACACAAAAATCACTTGTTGCTTGCTAATTTGAAGATCATTTACTTAATCAAGAAATTAGCCAACTAATCACCACAAACACATTTAAACTCATGAATAAAAACATACAAGTAATGATAAGATGTTAAGACACAAAACATTTTCATAAAGATTCAAACACAAGTTCATGGAGTCTACAACATTCAACAATTAGTCAAAGGATTTCACCAAAGTCAGCCACAATTTGTCTAGCCAAGCATGGCTAAACTTAAGAAAACAAAGTTAGTAAAGATTGTACCCAACATTTAACAAGAATCAAGAGGAGAAATGATGAAGTTCTTGAGGGTTCTTGGCCTTCAAAATGCTCCAAAACTCCAGAGGGAATGTGTCAAAATCGGATGTTCAAGATAAGGCTAAAGAGGCACACCAACCTTCCCAATATAGAGCTCAAAACAAAATCCTGAAATTGCCCCTTCAGGAATCCACGCGGGCCGCGTGGAAACCTTACGCGGGCCGCGTGAGTGTGACGGATTTTTGGGCTTCTTCAAGTCTTGAGCCCCCACAGCTATTCCATTGGCCCAGTTCGAGTCTAATCAGCTTCTAGCCCGTTTTTCTTCAAGATTTCTTCAATTTGAGCCCAATTTGCCTCTCCAAATCACTCATAGCTTCCGCAAACTCCCGATCATCGATCTCCGCACACTCGAAAATTCTCCCGCGCCTTGCAAATTTAAAGTTCAAATCTTCCAAGCCTTCAAGCAATTGACAAGCCCACCCTATGAATCACCTCCATAGCCATCAAGCCCAAAATCCTCATTGCCCTTCAAGTCCAATCGCCTCCCAAAAATCCCGCTCCGCTAGTCTCCAAAAAATCTGCAATAATGCTCAGGAAACTAGAAAGTACCCAAAATGGTCATAAAATAACAAAAAGGAAAATATGCATGAAAATTAACTAAAATGCGAATGAAATGTGCTAAAATAAACTATAAAAAGAAGTAAATAAAATGAAACTATCAAGGGTCATCCATTTGTAAGGCAGTTGACCCAAAATGAATTACAAATGGTTGTAGAATTGAGAAAGAACAATGTCCCCCACATGACATTTTATCAACGTTGAAGAGTCGAAATGAGAATAACTTATCTATAATAAAAACAGTTTACAATGCGCAAAACAAAGTTCGAATGGATGACTATGGAGGACAAAGTCAAATGCAGGTTGTATTCGAAACTTTGCATTCAAAAGTATATATATATATATATATATATATATATATATATATATATATATATATATATATATATATATATAAAGTTCGAATGGATGGCCATGCAGGACGAAGTCAAATGCAGGTTGTAATCGCATTCAAAAAGATATATATATATATCGTAATGATTTTCAATAAAAAAATTCATTTTTAAAACATAAATATAATAACTTCAAAACCCTTTTTTTCATTAAAAGATCATAGTTTACATTCATTAAATATTAAAGAGAGTTTAGCGGAAGTCTAAAAACATAGTTATTTATTCGATGTGAGTACTATCACGATGAAGTCTTACCCCGATCAGAGGAACAACCTGAAAAACATTTAATCAACAACTGTAAGTCAATGTTTAGTGAGTTCACCAAAATACCACATACCACAATATACATACAATGCATATAACAAATGGCCTTCAACATAAAGTTGGTATGCCCCTTGGCTTTCAGCATAAAACTGGTCCGCCCCTTGACCTTTAGCATAAAGTTGGTCCGCCCAAGTATCTTGGCCTTTAGCACAAAGCTGACTGTTATTAACTGACAACATGATATGTCAACATATATAACAGACAAACAAACAACAATTCAACACAACAGACAACTGACTAACTAGTCTACTTGCCTAACAACACTTTACAATATAATAACATCCTAATTATTGGAAAGAGTGCCCAAGGTCATTAACTATTTGTAATATTTTTAATAATAACATGGTCATTTTAGGTTGCCCTCAAGACCCAAATTGAGTAGAATAAATAAATGAGAAATGAGTTTATTAATTATTATGTTTAAAAATTAATTAGAAACTAAATGGAAATATATTTTAGGAATTAATTAAATAGTTTAATTAATTAAATGGTTGAATATTCATTAATCGATATTAATCAGGAATGTTCTAGAACCCTTATGAGATTAGTGTTTGGACGAAATCCCTCTTAGATGAGACGGAATTTCGAAATTTGCATCCCATCCCACGTGGGATGGAGTACAAAACCTAGAAAGAGATCCAATGCTATAAATATGGCCTTAGGGATTTCATTATTCCTTTTTCCTTTGTCTTGACTTTTTTTACACCCTTCTTCCTCCCTCAAAGGGACGATATCTAACCCTCTTAGGGTTTGTGAAATTGACCATTCTCCTAGTTATTTTTTATTCCACTCTTTGGTGTCATTCAGTGTGATACCATTAGAGGGATTCTGGTTTGGGTACTCTCATCCAAACAACTTCAAGGAGGACAAGATCTCAAGCATGGATGTCAAGAGCTACATAAAAAGTATGTTATTCTTCTTTATGTTTTATGTTTTCATAGGGTAGCTGTAATTAGTATGAAACCTAGATCCTTAGGTTGCATGTACACTTAGGTATATTGTGATGGTGGCTTATTTGGGATTGATTTGTGATGGTTTGAATGTATATGAAGAAGTTGTGGCCGATTAATTGAAAAAAAAATGTTCTGATTAGTTGAAAGGGAAAATGTCAGCGGAAAATGATGATTCCAGCAATAGAGTGGAAGACGACGTTGTTTCCATAGATGGATCTTCCCCCTTTTCGAAAAGCAGTGCAACATTTGAGAGTTGCAAACATATGACCAACATTTGCAAGCAAGATCTCGTACCGTCAGAAAGTATTGCTGATCAAGATGTTAGATTTACATGATTTGCGGATGATGTTAGTGGCATGCTATTAGAGTTTGAAGGTGTAATTCTTCGAGAACCTTCTCGTGTTCCTATCCTAGTAGGGACCACATCGTTTAAAAGATCAAAGGTTGATCGAAATTAAGGGAGATAATTGGAGATCACATAACACAATCGTTGGTAAGGGTTGTCGGAAGTGAACGACAACGATATAAAAAATTGAAACTATAAGAACCATTTGTGTAATTAGTTATAAACATAAATTTATGATGCTACAGTAATATTTTTCGATCTATATATTTGCAAATATTTTAAAGACTAATTTGGCAAATTTGGCACAATTTGCAACGCTAATTAGGGCATCTCCAACCCACCCCCAAACTCCATTTCTTCCTCATTCTTCTCCAACCCTACCCCATTTTCACCTCCATTTTTGGAGATATGAATAGTATTCCCCCATATATGGGGGGATACTATTCATATCTCCAAAAATGGAGGTGAAGTTTGGTTGCCAATTTTAGTCTCTCATTTTTATTTTATACATTTCTAGTTTATTTTATCTACTAATTATAATTTAAATGCAATATTTAATATTTATAATATTATGTTATATACTAATTTATATTAATTAATCATAAATATAGAGTTTAATTAGTAGATGGGTGTATTTGACAATATATATAAGTTATAAAAATGGAATATTCTAGAAATATACTTTTTGAGGTAAAAAGTTAGGTAGAAAATGGAGTAGGGTTGGAGATGAAACACTATTTACTCCATTTTTTACTCCATTTATGGAGGAAAAAATGAAGATAGGTTGGAGATGGTCTAAACGGTGTAACTTACAAACCCGATACTTTCACATCGATTTTATCATTAATCATTCTTTTTGTTTTAATCTTGCTGCATCGGTTTTTTACAAACCTTATCCAACAAAAATTCATCTGCAAAACTCTTTTCAATATAAAATCCTTTTTAGGAGTTATTTAATAATTAACACTCACCGAATATTAAAAGGTGGTTTTCATTATAGTATTTATTCATATAAAATACAACATCCAATTAACGGACTGGCTAATCCTACTGATGGTAAAGGTGAAAATTCATTTTATGAATATACTCAATATAGGTTAATTGAGAACATATATTAACACCTCCCTTGTATTACACTTATGCAGTAAACATTTCTCTATCACACGTCACTTTTTTCCAAAAGTTTTTTCAAACGATAACTTTTTTATGTACCAACCTCTCATTACCCTAGTAATAAAGGTAGGTTTATGTTAGTTAACATATGAAAAGCTAATATTACAATATGATTGACCATTTTTCAAAAAAAAAATGTACCCCACTCCAATAAATATTAATTGACATTAAACGTTTAAAATACGATAAATAGATAGAGTTTCATCTTTAGAATTATATCTATATCATCAACTATCTAATCTCCAAACGCCAATAAAAGGATTGATCATTTGAGGATAATAAAAGTGAACTCTTAAAAGAAAGTATTTTTAATCTATTTAATTGTTTAATAACTTTTGATAATTAGTGTTATAACTTATACCTTCATTTCATAGTTAAAATATGTAGTCATACCATAACGAAACATGCAACAAGAAATGTAATTAATATCTTTACTAGTAAAAGCAAAACCAGATAAACTAAGTTTAGCTAGTAGCATCACGGTTCAAAAAGATCAAGCAAGAAACAAAGGAAACTTTAGGAACCAAAACTATCAACCTATTCCATACTTAAAAACAGTCCCGGAATTGGAATTGGAATTGGAATTGGAATCGGAATCACGCATTGCCAGTGGACTTGAAGTGATTGTCATCGATCGATGAGTAAATCAGCCCCTCAATTACCATCCCATCAATCGCCTCCCTGTTCATATTTCAAAACCATCAAAACATATTCTTTAATCATCATTTATCATTTATCCATACAACACTTATAAAAGAAACAGAGGATTACCGAATCTTGTCTAAAGAAAGGCCCAACTGCATAGCAATTTCTTCTACATGTACTCCTGATTCCCTTGATCTGAAACATACAAACAACTTATAAAGAATTGGAATTTCACATAATAAAACTAAAATAAACCAAACCAAACTAAACAACTTACAAATTGGCTGGAAGTAGCAAATAATCCAACACCATTTTGTCAACTCCATTCAGTCCGTTAACAACATATTGACCAGTGAACTACCAAATCACAAAGTTAACATGACACAAAGTAAGATTTCTCATGATTAAAACTGTAGAAAAGAGTCTAAAAGGTTTACCTGGTTTGATGGAGCAGTTTGGTAAGATTGTGTGTTAATCCCTGAACTTGGCATATGAGATTGATTACTAGTGCCACTACTACCAGGTTGTTGCTTCTGTCACAGAAGAACAAAAAAATTTCAAGTATTCTTATTTTAATATCATGTGTTCTAAGGTAGAGCAAAGTTGTGAAATTTTACCAGTAACTTTGTGTTGTAAGAGTGGACATATATGCATTCAACAAAGTGATGTGTGATCTCATCAAAATCAACCACAGGTCTGCAAGTTCAACAAAAATCATAAACACATAAGTGATTTAGTTGAATGATCAAATTATTAGAGAAAGAAAAGGAGTTGAAGATGGAAATTATACTTGATACCAAAGACCACTAACTGTTTTTTCCCTTGAAAGCCTTTCAGTTGGCCATGAACTCGAACGTACATTCCCTCCCTATATTTTCAGAAACAAAAGAAGAGAATGTCAGAATTTCCAATCGAATCTCCATTTGAAAACCTAGAAAGAATTGGGGATTTACTTTATTGCTTCCATCTCCTTCGTGTCTACTGGTTCATGAACCCTAAAACATCACAAACACGTAAATTATATTGAAAAAACACAGAATAGGAGGGGAGTATAAATGTAAGTATAAGATAAATCTGATACCATCTGTTGCAGTCTATGCGACCTGTGCCATCATCAAGCAGAAAGGAAACATCTGTAACCCTCTCAGCTTTGTTCAATATCATCCCTACCAACTTAACCTAGGTTCAACAAAAACTAAGGTACTCAGTAACTTTACTGTGTAGAAAAATTAGTAAATATGAGGATTTTGAATGGAAACGAAACCCTACGTTGTTTACATCAACGCCGTCGATGAGAAAGTTCACTTTATCATCATTCGACAACAACGCTTTGTTAATTTGCTTCACAGTCAAGGGAATCAGCGTATGTGTATCACGATTCTGCAAATAACAAAATCAGACGCTGTGAGACCTAGCGATAAACATTTAAATCGGACAAAATTGGAGGTTTGAGGAAATAATGGATACCTTAGTAGTCGAAGAGGGCGCAGGGTCCGTATTCTGAGTGGCCTGAGAAGGCATGAAACCACCTCCTGAGAAGGCGGCGGCGCCGTCGAACTGACTTGCGTTTGCGTACATCTTTTTCGTATCAATCTCACAATTAGATGAAAAACTATCAACTGGTGATTCTTCTTAAAGAAGAAATTCTGCTTCACAAAATGTTGTTCCCGCCAATTTCCTCCCCCTTTCGCCGGTGAAACTAGGGTGAGAAGGACGGGTACCGGGTCGAAATACCCGGATCGGTCCCAAACCCGGTTAAGTCCAAATTCGAAATATGATTTCCATTTTCTTTTCCTTTTTTATTTTACTAAAATATATAGTTGTTACAAAATTGTAATAAATGTTGTTGTAGAAATCGTATTTTAGGGTTTTTAGTTTCAAAAATATTTTATTAAAGTTAAGTAGTATTTATTTTAATTTGGAATTTAAGATAACTTTAAATATTTTATTGTATTCCTTGTTAGTTATAAATTATCTTTAAAAGTATATATAATTATTTTGTTACTAGTTTATAATCGGTGGGAACCACGAGTTATAAAATTAATTAAACTTTCATAATAAAAGTTTATAATTATTAATCAATTATTTTTAATAAATCATTTTATATAAATTATTAATTAAGAGATATATCAAAAATTTAAAATTATTATAACTTTAAATTTAACATATAATTAGAAAATGTAAATTTGAATTTTGAAATGAGTTGCCTAATATATCTAAATGACACGTGACATAATATTAATGAGGAGTTGTATTAGAGTGACACTTGACAAAAGGAGATTAAAACTATTCATTTATTAGAATATGATAGGATGATAGGATTAATATAGTATATTATAAATAAGGTATTTTTCATTATAGTTTTCTAGGTTTTGAGAATTGATAAAATTTATAAAACAATTTGTGAAAATTCTTAAGAATACAAATTGTTCATTTTATTTGTTATTATTGAGTCTCGTCATTTCGTTCGGTTTTTTTCCGTATCAAATGTTTTATATTTACATAATATAAATATTATGTACAATATTAACATTATAATATTAACATGTTGTTTCTTTCTTTTCAAAAGACCACAAAACAAAGTCAAACATACGTAATAACCACCAAACAAAATATAATAAATACGAACTAGTTGCACATATAAGGATTATCATGCCAAGGTATGATGAAAACTTTTTAAATGATGTTTATTTTACGGTTATAGTATCTGATCATTTGATTGGATAGGTTTATGAAATTTGAATACGTCGTCACATGATTGTGGTATTTTTATAACTAACTGAAATGAAACACTAGAAAGATATCTTCTAAATTTGTAAAATAAAACACCATAAAAATGGCATTGTATCAATCTTTATGAACCATGACAATTTCATCAAACATCCTATAGCGAAATCATTATTCTCAAAACAAAAGTTGAAATTACATAAAAACACATGCATACAAATACCCTTTGTTAAGTAAAATGTTCATTTTAATCTTTTATGTATGGCACCCTTTTCCTTTATTATTCTTCTCATGTTCTTCATGGAGTGAAAATCAAATTCACCCCTATCCTACACTTCACATGGTGAATCACTTGAAGAAGACCAATAATTAAGAAAGAGATCACAATGAACCCACCTTACTAAACCCGCTTTTAAGTCTTCATAATAATCTTTTAACGTAATCTTTTAACGCCTTTGAAAATTCCTGCTTGATCTTTTTTTCCAAAACCAAAATCGCCAAGATGTTGACTCTTTAGGCTCATCATAAAGATCAAAATTTGGTCGAGAAAATGCCAAGCTTTGCATTGCGGGTGGTGGTGTTGGTGGTGGAATAATTTGTTCTTGTGGTTGATGTTTTGGTGTTCCTGGTTGCATTTCCCAATCGAAAGGCACCCCTTCGTTTAGGGTACTACGATAATAGATACATGATGATTGACCCACAGATGAATCTCTTGAAAGAGTCTTGATGCAAGATGAAGGGCTTTGAGGCATATCCATGTCTCGATTTTCCATTTCTTTGCAATAAGAAATGAGGGAGGGGGATGTTAAGTGATAAAAAGAATTATGGATGGAAAGTGTCATATTGGTCTTCTTATAGATGATGTTGTAAGGCACGTAGGGCATTTAAAAATATAAGTGACAACCACGTTAAGGTGTATAAAAGTACTTCTGTTTATTAATTTTAAATAATAAAATGAAAATCAACTTTTCAAACATAAAGCAACCCCAAAAGTTGGTGGAAATTGTGGTCATGATAGGGATACATTATTTTGGTAAGAATCAACAATAATTGATAACATATAATATTTAGGGGGTCTTTGGGTATTGAAAATAATTACTTGATTAAAATTAAAAATAGATAACTATTTATAATAAGACTGAGTTATGGAGATTAGGTATTTGATTGTTTGAAATTCTAATAATAAAACAAGAAGTTATTTGATTATTAGTAATTCTGATTATTCAAGTTATCATAAATAAAAAAGACTATAAATGATACATAAGAACTTTTCTTACGATCTACTCTACCACACTAGTAAATAGGGTGCAAAGGGAACATTGAATTTATGTAGTTGACTTTTTTGGATGGATGAATTTGACCCAGAAAAGTCCATTTGATTATTTGGTCGGTAGATGTTTCTGTTGTATGACAAGTATCCCCACAAATTCATATCTACCAGTTTGACTTTCAGAGTCAAACATATAACATGTTCCAACTTTTTATATGAATATTTTTCTTCATAAGAAACTAGATCAGATTGCATGAATAAACGGAACTCCACCAAATGAGAGTCAGCTTGTGAAAAACTCTTGGCTTAATGCTTTTAACCCATGATTCAAGAGATCTCATGGCTTTGTAATTATCACCAGAAGCAACTAAATATATAATAAAATATGACAAAATACATAAAATCATTATATTTTAGTATTTTTTACGGTTTAACAATTATATTTAGTTTTATCAATGAATACATGAATACATGAATACATGTAAGAAAATGAATCATACCTGCAACTTAATGTACTCGTTTTCTTTCTTCTCCATCTCATTCTCTTGTATCGGTTGGGTTCTCACTTGCTTTTGTGACACGTCATCATCTTGAACATAATGAGTTTTACAAAGTGACTTTTTCTTTTCTTTTTTCTCTTTTATCAGGCCATTTTTTTCCCTCAACCCCTAGGTAATTTTGGAAAGAGAAAAGAAAAAACCCATAAATCATACTACTATGTATTAACTAATTAACCGCAAAAAATGTACGTAGCCAATCGCAAAAAAAAAGGGAATTCCAAATCGATTTTTTTTTCTTCCTTTCAGTTCTCTCATATATGATCTCTCTCTTTCTATCGTCTCTCTGTAATTTGATCGGTCGGAATCTGAAATCAAAAATACTAATATCACGACAATGAGCGACAGCGATGAGGAGGAGGTATCGCAGGTGGCGTCGAAAGGTAAATCGCGTAAATCTAAGGCGAAAAAATCTTCAAAACCAAAACCTGTAGCTAATTTCATGCAAACGCTGGGGTTACCTAAAATAAGCCATAAAACCAAGCCACAACATCGCAAAGAGCCCTCCGAGGATTCGGATGATGACTCTGAGGAATTGCTTAGTATATCATCCGGGGATGAAGATGCTGGTGATGGTGATCAGAAGAACTCAAACGGAGGTGGTGGTAAGGATGACGATACACTCTTCGAAGGGGAACCTACTAAATGGAAACAAGTCAATGAATCCGAGGTAACACACACATACACATACATATACACACTCAAATGCTTCTTGTAATCTAGAGCTAGTGTATAGATATTTCACCAAGGGTTACAAGTTTCTTATTATTATACTTTCATCTGTGCGAACGAAATATAGGTTCAAAGAGTACAACGTGCATAAATAAAATAGCTAGCTTGAAGAATTATTGAATTTCTGAAGTTTTACCTGTGGTGAACAGCTTGCTCGAAGGGTTCGTGATATGAGGGAATCGAAAGTTGTTACAGTAACTCAAAAAATTGAGAGGAAACAAACGACAACTGCAAAAGGGCTCAATACTGTACAGTCATTGCCACGTGGCATGGAGTGTATAGATCCTCTAGGAGTGGGGTATAATATTATCCTAATCTGTTCTTCTAACACTTTGCCTAAAAGATAATCCGCAGTTAATTAAACAATATAGATTCCTGTTTGCATGTTGAATGTTCTTGAATCTACTCATTATGCTTTGATGTTGATAATGCAAGGTTGCTGAATCATTTTTTTTAACGTGTTACAGTTTATTATTACTAAAGTTGGTTTAATTTTTTAATACTAGGATTATAGACAACAGAACATTGAGGTTGATTGATGAACGTTCATTAAATTCTCCACCCAAGTCAGAGAGAGTGAATTCAGACCTTCGAGGTACTTATTCTTTATAAAAAAAAGTGTTGCAATTGATTACTTGAATTGAATACAATTATACAAGTATATATGTTAACATTTTTAATTTGCAGAGAGGTTGATGTTTTTCTCAGAGAGGTTTGATCCGAAATTATTCCTTACCCGCATACACCAATTCACTGCTGCAGCAGACTTGGAGTCTGGTGCTGTGGCTTTGAAAAGTGACCTGTTGGGTCGCACTCAAGATAGAAAACAGCTTGTGAAAGAAAATTTTGATTGCTTTGTCTCTTGCAAAACCACTATTGATGGTATTTATTTCTCTTGAACAATGTTTGTATAATGATTTGTAAATAAGCTTGTGATATATGTATTTTGTTTTACAGATATCGAGTCGAAACTGAAAAGGATAGAGGAAGATCCTGATGGTTGTGGAACCTCTCATCTGTATACTAGTGTGGAAAAAGTGAATTCAGTGGCTAATCGGGCTTTTGAACCCCTACTTGAAAGACAGGTTGGAAATCATGCATGTTATCATTATATACATATAATGTATATACAAGTATTTGTTTATGATATGAAATGATGGTTTGATTAAGGCTCAAGCAGAGAAAATCAGGGCAGTTCAAGGAACGCTTCAGAGGTTCCGGACTTTATTCAGTTTGCCTGGTGCCATCCGTGGGAATATTAGTAAGGGGGAATATGACTTGGCAGTCAGAGAATACAACAAAGCAAAGTCAATTGCCCTCCCTTCTCATGTATTCTATACGAATTACTCATTTCTATTTATTATTATTTTTTTCATCAACATCATTTGAGCTACATAACTTTTTTAAACAGGTCAAATTCCATAAAAAAACACTATATATACTTTGGTTCTTTTTTTGGTTTGACCACTGAAAGTTTGTTTTCTTTTTCAAGAAGGTCACTACATAAACTTTCAGTTATATAAGAACCACTATAGTTTGGAAATTGTTCAGAAAGATTATTTATTATGGTTTAACCATTAAAACTTTGATTTAAAAAAAAAAAAAAACCTTAACCGGAAAAATATATCTTACTTTTAATGGTTGTTAAACTAGAAAAAGTTCTTTGAATGGTTAAACCAACAAAATCACACTACAGTAGTTTTTATGGAATTTTAAATATGCTTTTCCTATGGTGTTTAAAAAACATATATTTTGTTTATTTAAGTAGTTACATACTTACATTAATCCAATCCACTAATATCTTTTGAGATAATGTTATTTTGAGACTTCACTAAATGATTTGCTTCATTGACATGTATTTTGTCTTTTACTTGTAAAAGCAATGTGTTCATATTAAGTATGCAAGTTACAGGTTGGAATATTAAAACGTGTCCTTGAGGAGGTTGAAAAGGTGATGGATTCATTTAAAACCATGCTTTACCAGTCTATGGAAGATCCACAGATAGATGTAACAAATGTAAGCCTAATATATGCTTTTCCTATGGTGTTTAAAAAACATATATTCTGTTCATTTAAGTAGTTACATACCTACATTAATCCAATCCACTAATATCTTTGTAAACATAAATGTAGTCACAAACTACAATAGTCTATTGTATTATTTCAGTTTATGTATTGCTTCACTTTTCTATAATTCTATACAACTTACTAACATAATCGAAGATAATGATGACATGGCCAACTGATGAAATGCACACTTTTGTTGAGGTTTAATATTGGTATCTAGTGTCACCTTAAGCTAGTATTTTTAAAGTTTAAATGATTTTTTTTTTACATTGAATGAATTTTGTTGACATTTCTTGTAGCTTGAGAATGTGGTGAGACTTCTGTTGGAGCTGGAACCTGGATCAGATCCTGTAAGGCGTTATTTTACTATACAGGTGAGAGGTTCTAGTATATCTTACCTTTATTTCTTTGTATTACAGGATTATGTTTTCAGTTTTTTTTTATTAAGGCATTATATTTTGAAAAATCTACCCAATTATAATTGGGTAGACACTAATAACTTGGACATTTTTTGATCATCAGAATCGCAGGATTCGAAGTTTGCTTGAGATGTGCACATTGGATCATGAATTAAGGATGGAAAACTTACAAGATAAGCTACATGAGAAAGCATTGTCAGATGAAAAGTGGAAGAAAATCCAGCAAGACTTACATGAATCTGTGAGCAATCCTCATCGTCTATGCATAAAGACGTGAATGCCCTCCTCATCCTCATCACCGAACCTAGCCCTAGAAAGCTTGTCCAGTGTCTCTTCTGTTGCATTTGTTACACGGGATTGGATAAGATTTGTAGGCTATTTTCAATGATAAAGATGAGGAGGGCGTTTATGTCTTTTTCATATTTTGTCATCTTAAGTATTTGTGTTATATACTACTATCAGGAAGATGGTGATTCCACCCTCCAACATGCAAACAACTTGTTGGTAGATTCACAACAAAGTGATTTAAGTTGTGTAGAGCTTGATGCTCTCAGAGGAAGATATATAAGAAGATTAACAGCTGTAATTATCCATCACATACCAGCTTTGTGGAAAGTTGCCCTTTCTGTTTCAAGTGGAAAATTTGCAAAGGTACGTTAAGTCCATGTAAAATGACCATTTTGCCCTTTTCTAGGAAAGCTATTGAATATGCTCAACTATGAATCATGTCTACACTTTTTAGGTTTCTTCTGAACAAAATAAAACAGGGGAAAAAACAGAAGGAAGATACTCTAGTCATTCTCTTGATATTGTGTCTGGAATGATACACAATACTGTATCAGCATATGAATCCAAGGTAAGAGTTTATTTTTGAGATTGTTTTCATATTTCCTGTAATACAAATAAATATAAATAAAACTACATTGCAATTTCTTGCATGTTGTTTTATACTTCAGGTTCAGGGATCATTTAATGATCTTGAGGAGTCGAATGTTCTTTTCCCATATATGAGTGATGCAATAATGGATATATCTAAAGCATGTCAAGCATTTGAAGCAAAAGAAGCAGCACCAACAATTGCAGCAGGTTATTTACCTTTTTTTTTTTACTGTTTCATATTATTACTGTAATTAACTACTTTCCATGACAACAGTTGAATCTCTTCAGGCACTTCTGTTTGATAGCACAAAAATTTATATACTAAGGCTTTGTTCATGGATGCGAACTTCAATTGAAGAGATTTCTAAAAATGAATCGTGGGTCCCAGTGACTGTTTTAGAAAGGAACAAATCTCAGTATGCTATTTCTTCCTTCCCATTAGCCTTTCGTTCAGTGATGGCATCTGCAATGGATCAGATTGATATGTAAGACACAAACAACAATGTTGTAATAGAAAGAAATGAAAATAGGATTCTAGTTTTAATGGTTTATCTTTTTTCAGGATGATGAAGTCTTTAAGGAATGAAGCGACATCAGAAGATACCCTTATGTTGCTTCAAGAAGCTCAAGAATCTGTTAGGCTTTCATTTTTCAATTGTCTACTAGGGTTTGCTGGTATATATGAAAAGATCACTTCTTTTTATGATGTTTTAATAACTTATGAATGATTGATATTAATACTTGTTATGATGCATGCACTTTATTAGGCCACATGGAGCAGATTGGAGGTGAGATTGGAGAGAATATATCAAACCAAGAAAACTCATCCATTCCTTGTGTTTTTGAAGAAAATTCATTTGAAAGTATTAATGATCCACATCAACAGCTGTTGATGGTTTTAAGTAATATTGGATTTTGTAAAGTTGATCTTTCTCGTGAGATGTACAATAACTACAACCATGTTTGGCTGCAGGCAAGGTAGGTAGAATGAAACTACTCTTTTTAATTGTTAAGTTTAATTCAAATAAAGAATGAAAGGAATCTTTTTTAGTTAAAATTTATAAATTCTTGTAGGGGAAGAGAAGATGATGACAAGGATAGAGAAGAATTGGATGAGTCTTTCTCTCTGCTTGAAGAGAAAGTCCTTGCACAATATACTTTTGCAAAGGTATATATAATATAACAAGATCTCTTTTGTTGCCAATTTGACTCAAAGTTTATTGTGTTTGGCATACTTGGGACAAAAATGGAAATTTTGTTTAACCCAAAAAGGTGGGACAGGGATCATATAATATATATGCAAAAGACATGAATGCCCTCATCATTGAAAATAGACCTACAAAGGACCTGGATTGGATTTTTACTTATTGACCCTTTGACCTTTCTGGTTAGGTTCTTAACAATGGTGCTTACTGTTTTAGGCACATTATATTAGAACAGCTGCTACAAACTATTTGTTAGATGCTGGATTACAATGGGGAGGAGCTCCAGCTGTAAAAGTGAGTCAACATGTTTTCAATCATTATTAATGGAGTTATGTTCAAATATTTACCATATTGCCCTCTGCAGGGTGTAAGGGACCCTGCTGTCGAGTTAATGCACACTCTTGTTGCTGTTCATGCTGAGGTAACATTTTTACTACTCGGTCTTTTGGTACATTATTATATAAAAAGCAAAGCAAGGGCAAAATTGTCATTTTACATTCAGGCATATTTTATATCAAGTTTTGAAGGTGGAGTTAAATAAATATTTAATCGTCACAGGTGTTTGCTGGTTGTGAGCCCTTGCTTGACAAAACCCTTGGAATACTTGTGGAAGGTCTAATTGACACATTACTCAACCTTTTTCGTGAACATCAAGACACGGATCTTAAGCTTTTGGATGCAAATGGATATTGCCAACTCATGCTTGAGGTAATTTATATACTCGATATCTTTATGCTAGTGAATCACTAACGCCTTTCTACTATGTGGGTTTAATTTGCAGCTTGAGTACTTTGAGACAATATTAAATCAGTATTTCACATCGGATGCAAGTGAATCACTAAAATCACTACAAGGGATTTTATTAGAGAAAGCCATGGAAGGTTCCCCTGAAGCTAGTGATTCTCCGAGTCAGCGACGCGGAAGTGATGAAGCAGATGATAAACAACAAATCCCTTTATCACCCGATGACCTCATAGTAAGATAAGAATTACGAAACCCTCGTTCCTTCTATAGCTTAACAAATTGGGGTAAATTTGATTGTGATTGGTATTTTTTGATAGGCTCTTGCTCAACAGTGTAGCAGTGAACTGCTACAATCTGAGCTTGAGAGGACTCGGATAAACACAGCATGTTTTATGGAGTCGTTTCCATTGGAGTTTGCTCCAGAATCGGTGAAAGTAGCTTATGCTTCGTTTAGAGGCTCAATGGATGCTTCCAGTGGGATTTTTGTGGGCGCACAAGCTATAGTCGCTGCTCATAGATGGAGATGATTTTATGATTCAAGTTGCTTGTAGGAGGAAACAAGTTTTTTTATTCATATTTATTATTTAAATTTGGGAAAATGACTTATAAAAAGGTAATAATGTTTCAAAAACGTAAAAAAACACAATTATTCTTTTTTTAGTGAAAAAAATATCATTTTACCGGGTATTGTAGGGTAGCCGGTTAAAAGATTTATGGGAATATATGTGCCCTTACCCTTCGTTATTTCCCCAAAAATCAAGAGTTCCTTTCCTTCCCCTTCGTTCGTTCATCCTTTCCACAGAATCACCACAATAGATTCCAACTTGACAATCGAAGTAAATCATACAAGTTGTTTTTCCCCAAACCAATTGTGTATTTCAATCCGGTAAAAATGGTTGTTAGCAATGTCGATTTCAGAAGCATGAGTTTCATGGAGTTCATCTCGTATGTGAAGAAGTTGGTCAAGGATGGAAGAATCAATGTGTACTATTGTCTTCCACAACGTTCACTGAGAGATGGGTTAAGAGCCTTGGAAGATGAAAATGATTATGTTCGTTTCCTTGATGCTGGATATGAGAATGGGGGTATGATCAATTTGTACATTGATCACAGTCAGGAGACAGTTATGGAGTGGATTGAAGAAGAGATAGTTGAAGATGGATCGATAGATGGTAATACGGATGATGATGATGATGTAGACTCTGAGCTTTCAGATAATGAGTTTGTGGAGCATGAACTTGATGATGAAGTGATACAAATACAACCATCTGATGATCGTTTCATTAGAAGAAAATTTTTCAGGCCTCCAAGAGTTGTAGATGATAAGAAAGATGTCAAGAAAGATCTTCATAAGTATCCAGTTCATGATCCTAACAAAAAATAGGATACAATGGTTCCAGTCTTAGGTATGAAATTTTGTGATCGTTATGAACTTAAGCATTTGTTAAGCAATTATGCTGTTGCTAATGGGTATAAACTGTGGTATGAAAAAAATGATTCAACTAGATTATTAGTTAGATGTTGCAAAGGTGAAGAGAAGTCTAAATGCCCTTTTAGGTTGTGGGCAACTTGGATGAGTAAAGAAAGATCATTTCAGATTAAGTCCTTAATCTCTGAACACAACTGTTGTAGGGCCTTTAATTTAGGTGCAATGGTCACATATAGTTGGATTGGAAAACAGTTAATGGAAACCATAATAGATAATCCAAGAATAAGTTACAGGAAAATGGCAGCAACAGTCCTTAGAGATTTTAATCTAAAAGTTAGTTTTGGTCAGTGTAGAAATGCCAAAAAATTTGCAATGGATGAGATAGAAGGGAGTTTGGTGGCACACTATGAAAAGCTTAGGATTTATGATTTGGAGCTATTGAGGACTAATCCAGGTTCCACAGTGAAATTGGATGTAGATATCATGCCTGATTCCAGGTCATAGTTTCCAACAATCTCAAACAATTGTTCAACCAGGTACGTGTCTTTTAATGCTTCAAATAGCAATCTACTTCTAACTTTATAATTTTTATTAATTTACACTAAATATTTAATTTTTTGTAAAATTTTATTAGGGTCATTGGATAGTAAGGCTGGAATTTATGCATTATCTTATGATATGACCGGATCAAGGTTGGTTACATGTGAAGCAGACAAAACAATTAAAATGTGGAAAGAAGACGAAAATGCCACTCCAGAAACTCACCCGGTCAACTTCAAACCCCCGAAAGATATCCGTAGGTTTTAAACATGGAAGGGTATTTTCGGAATTCTTTTTGTTAATTGTGTTGTAATGTTAAAAAAGTTTAGTTTTGGGATATTCGATAAAAAAAAATTAAATAGTTGTGATATAATGAGTGTGGTGACAAAAATGGGACCAATGTTTATTTAGCATGTCTAGGAAAGAAGGGCATTTGCAGGTTTGTCATGAAAATATGCTTCCTCAAAGCTTAAGTAGCATGCAAGTTTCTTAATTTATTTACTCATGTCTTGGGGTTGTTGTTTGACTTGGTCAAACCTTAACTTTTTGAGGGACCAAAGTGTCCACCTAAAAGATTACAGTCCAGTAAGAACGGGTCTAAGTCACCAAGGCCTGTCCGTTTAGCTAGTAATAGTTCCGAACTATGGTCCGATGTCGGGCGGGGCCTGATGTAGGTTTATATGCTTTTCCAGATTTCGATCCGATGTCGGGGCGGTCCCGAGGAATTCCTGTATGCTTGATGTCTTTGTGATTCTTGCATGTGTTTGTATTGTATGTTTCCGGACTTTTGTCCGATGTCAGGGCGGTCCCGAGGAATGTTACTATGTTACCGGATTACGGTCCGATGTCGGGCGGGGCCCGAGGAATGTTTAAGTTTTAATGTTATATGCTTAGGGTTATGTGTATTATTGATTATGCTCATATGTATTTCGAGATGTGCTCGATGCCGGGCGGGGCCTGATGCCGGGAAAGCCGATGTCGAGCTTGACTCGATGTAACAGGGGCGGGGCCCAAGATATGTTTATGTGATATGTGTATGGTATGTGGTGTTTGGGGAGACTCACTAAGCTTCGTGCTTACAGTTTTCAGTTTTGGTTTCAGGTACTTCTGCTTGTAAGGGGAAGAGCTCAGGATGACTGCATGGCACACACCACAGTTTTAGCCTGGGATGTTTTTAGACTCTGATATTTTCATATGGTTTTGATACAGTAATTGGATATGATGTTTTGGAAAAATGATTTGTGATTTTATTATGATATTGATGGGTTATGGTTTTCGTAAATGATTTTAAAAAGAAATTTTTGGACTATATTTTTGGGATGTTTCACTCCAACTCAACTGCCTATAAATCATCATGTGATTAACTTATCGCAATCCCAAAATACTAAAAATACCTCAAAGTCAACCCTGGTCAACCCTAGTCAAAGTCAAGGTCAACAGTCCATGATGACCTCAACTCGTCGAGTGCGTCCAGCAACTCGTCGAGTTAGCTGCATAACTTGTCAACTCGCCGAGTTACCTTCGTAACTCGTCGAGTTCCTCCTCAGTCCATTCCACTGAACCCCGAGTCAACTCGCCGAGTCACCTTAGTGACTCGTCGAGTTCATCAAATGTCCAGAAACCTAAAGTCCATTCAGACCAACACCCTAATCCTTCACTGCACTCAGTCGGAAACTCGAACACGGGCAAACCCTACCCCGACTCGTCGATTCAACTAAGGGACTCGACGAGTTCCTTCAGTCCCTTTTATGTTCAGCCCTTTTCAGTGGGATCTAAGGTCCCAAACTTCAGATCCAACCTCCCCTAGTGCAGATACCACGTAAAGTACGTGCATGCAAGGCCCTCCAAGGCTATAACATCAAAACTAAGCTTCCTACAAGGTTTTAGTGTATGGAAAGGGGCTAAGCTGGATAAAGTAAGCAACTTTATGTCATTGGGGACCTAGAAAGGTCCAGATCTGGAACCATATCCTTGTGATAAGTCCAGATCCGAGTTTGACCCCATTTTGCACCCAAAAGTGACCATATCCTTCCATGAAATGAGATCTAAGCAAATAGAGATCAAGGTGGTAACTTTTTACCTCTAAATGGATGCTCACAACTAGTAGATGTTGGATCCCAATCTTTCTCATCTCTTCAAGCTCCTCTACCTTCAAGTTTCCTTCTTCAAAGGCACAAGTTTCACTCTCTAAGGCTCACACACACTAAAGGAAGCTCAAATATGCGGCTAGGGTTTCTTTCTGGGCTGTAAGGACGATGAGGGAGGCTACAAATGAGCCATAAGTACTTTAAATAGGATGCAAACCCTTGAAAATTAGGGTTTCTCTCTACAGCGCCTACTCGTCGAGTCGGGGCCTTCCGACTCGTCGAGTAGAATCCAAATCCTGCATCCTCATAATAGTCTCTACTCGACGAGTTGGAGCACCCCAACTCGCCGAGTACATGCACAAAACCCTAAAACTTAGATAAATTAAATAATACCTGAAACATGTGTTACATCTACTATGAGATACGGTCCTCGCCTACACTCAGCTATTTATGAGATACGGGCCTAGCCCACACTCAACTATCTATGAGATACGGGCCTCGCCCACACTCAGCTACTAAGAAACACATACAAGTATCACACAGACAACAAGTATAATCAAATCTATCAATCCATATCCATACTCAAATAATGCTAAGATACGGGCCCTGCCCACACTTAACTGCTAATCAATATACATAACATACACGGGCCGACCTTGGTGCCTTCGACCCGTTCAAACCAGGAGGAAACTCACCTCACTGTCAGATGATAGCTGAAAACGTCTCTGCCCGAAATCAACTCTACTCACTCCCTGAACCAAAACAATCCCTTAGATACCATTCCATACTCATAACCCTTAAGGGTCAACTCTAGTCAAGTCCAAGTCAACGCTCCGAGTTGACTCAACTCGTTGAGTTTACCCCTCAACTCGCCCAGTTCCCCTGAATCACAGAATCGTGAAAGCGCGATCCAACTCGTCGAGTTTTCCTCCAACTCGCCGAGTTCCTCGTTCTCAATAGAAACACGACCTTCCCAGTACAAGTCGTCGAGTTCCCTTATGGACTCGTCGAGTTCCTTCAACAAAATCGGGAACATTCCAAACCAACTCGCCGAGTTCCCTTATAGACTCGCCGAGTTTATTAGTCTGTCAACCCTTCTTAATGCATTAAGCCCTCATTTTACAAATCTACCCCCAGGGGCGGCTCAACCAGATTTGAGGCTCTAAGCGTAACTAAAAACTTGGGGCCCTTTTGTTCCAACCCTGATTCTATATTGTGTAATAAAAACAAATATAAAAGTGAAGATTGTCTTTTTTTTTGTTTAAACTTGCACTGTTTTAATTAAAAGGAGAAGTCAAACTTGCAGGATTATTTTAACTCAAAAATACACAACTCAACACAAAAATCAATGAACAAGCCAGAAGCCATATACATAGAAATTGATCAATAGATAATAACCAACATTCCTTAGACTGCTCTCATAACAGGAGAAACATTTTCCCTATTTGACTTGCATACCCAAGTATTTCTATTTAATATGTTAAGAAAAGAAACATTTTATATAAAACAGTAGTTATAGTTAATTCATGAATCAAATAGAATACCTTGACAAATTTGGTAAACACAAATTCACAAAAACACAATTCACAAGATGTAAACAAATTAAGGTTTACCGGTTTAGTTTACCAAATCAGATAAATCTTGTAATACCTTGACAAGTACTAAACATATTAAGATTCAGTTTACCAGCAACACAAAAAATGAATGGAAATACTAACTCAAAAAATCAAAAATCAAACAGCAACAAAAAAAAATCAAGAATAGAAGGGTATCAAGTGAAAACAGATAATACAAAAACTGACTATTAACCCTAATAGATAATCAGATAATGGAAAAATCAAGTGAAAAAAACACAGCACATACCTTAATCATCAGATAAATTCATTGGTCTAAATAGTAGTCGAGAATGGAGGAGGAAGAAGAACAGAAGCTATTTCAGCGGTTCAACCTTTCTTTTAGTGTTTAACAATTCAAGAATCGAGATTAAAGAAGCCTACTAGAATCGAGAAAGGGGAATCAGTCAATCAGAGATTCAGTTCGCAAGAATGGATGAGGAAGGAAGAAGTGTGATCGTCACTTTTGATTTGAGGTGTCCTATGCATATCAACGAATGCAGAAGCCGAGAAGAGAAACATGGATTCGACATTAAAGGATTTTGGTTAAGTGGGGCCCTAAGCCCTAGCTTATATTTTCAATACATCAGGCCGGCCCTGTCTACCCCCTAAACTCCAGATCCAAACTGGAAATACACCTAGAAGGGTAAAGTTTCCAACTTTACCCGTTAAGGTCCTCTCCAAACGCATAAAACTCAAACCCTAACTCAAAATGGCTTAGATCCAACTCCAAAGGCCATCAAAACTTCAAGATAGAACATGAGGTCATAGATCTGGACTCAAGGGACAAAATGATCACGTAAAGTCTTAAACTTTATCCACATGCATGGCCATAGGAGCTTCAAAAGACCAAAATGATGGTCTAAAGGTTGCATGGGGCTTCCATGGCCATAAAGTTGGCATCTTTATGCCATGAAAACCCTTCAAGATCCTAGATCTGAAGTATTCCCCACTTGGGACGTCCAAATCCCATGAATCATGCCATTTTGACCAAACTAGCAAAATAACCTCAAAAAGGATATCTAAGCAACTACAAGGAAAGGTTTAAGCTTTATACCAACAAAATGTCATGGATGAGGCAAGGATTCTGGATCCATATGCTCCTTTTTGTGTCTATAAGCTCTTCCTTCTTCCAATAGCTTCAAATACACACCAAAACTCTAAAAAATAGCTCACAAACACTCAAATGGCTTTAGGGTTTTCGATATTTTGGGTTTGGGACTTGGAGGCTATAAATGAGGCCAACATGAAAGGTTTAAGACGTTTAAATAGGGTGCAAACCCCGAAAATTAGGGTTTCATATCTGCCAATCTACTCGTCGAGTTGAGGCCTCCCAACTCGTCGAGTAGGTTTCTTAACCCGCGTCCCAAATCATCTCTACTCGACGAGTCTGGGGCTCCCAACTCATCGAGTTTCTCTACAAAAGTGAATAAATTAGGATTTTATATACATACCAGGAACTAGGCATTACATTTTGTCCTATACGAAAAGTAGCTTTATGAACTGCTCCTAAAGAACACTTTGTTTCCTTCCCTATTTCTTTTATAATTTCTCTTCTCTTCTTGCCCATATCAGAATCACCACCCAATGAATCTCATTCCTCATTTTAAATTACATCCAACTCTTCATGGTCTTGATCTCCATCTTTCTCTATGTTATCCCTTAGTCTTTTTCTCAAAAAACTTTTCTTTAGTGTCAATGCTTATATGGAAATCCTGCATATCCACTTCAACTTCAGGAATTATATTGTCTTCATCCACCCAATCACTGTCCTCACTGTCATCTTCCCATCAGATTTGCTCCCATCTTCCTGATTACTTTCTATGTTACCTTCTATTTCAATCTCCATGTAATCATCTATGTCATTAATCAAGTTATCTTCCATGTCAGCCTTATGTCCATGTTCACTAAGATTTGCATTATTATGTTCTTCCACTTTAACTTTAGGTTGTTCTTCCATTTCAACTTCAACTTGTTCTTCCACTTCAACTTAATCTTGTTCTTCCACTTGTACTTGCACATGTTCACTAACATCTACATTTGACTGTAATCTTTTGGTACAAACTAATATCAAATTCACTAGCTGCCTCAATAAAGTCATTTGCTATAAGCTATTTATCTTTATCTTTTGTAATACTAACATCAACATCATAGTCCAAGCTCAATCTCTTACTACAAGATTACATCCCTTTGTCCTTGTTCAAAACCTTTATCAAATTATACTAAGGGGATATTGGAGTTGGCAATGGTTCTTCTAAAAACAGGGGATGATCTAGGTGGGCTTGTTAATGGCTGTACCTTAGCTGTAGGGTTTCTATTATCATCATTTTCATCTATTTCATCCATATGTACAATAGTTACCTTCCTTACAAGTTTAGGATTCATAAATTAAGCAAGTAAATTTATATCACCATGTTCTGTATCTACCCTCATCAG